AGATCCAGAAGTCTGTGACAAAAATCCTTCATCTGGTTAAATATTGTTAAAAAAAATACCAATTATATAGCATTAAAGTTCAAGAAAGGATGGTTTGCGGACAAAAAAAACAGTCTTTTCTTCAATTCCTGTATTTATTCATATCGCAATATATATCGCAGGGGAAGAAAATATCGCAATGTCAGTTTTTTCCAATATCATGCAGCCTTACCATTAACAGCTGGGCAAAATGTTATTAAAATCCATCCTACTTTTGTTCAAATAGACCAACAGAATGACATTCCCATCTAAAAAGCGCACAGCAAAACATCTACATCTATGCAAACTGTGTATGCAAAAAACCCATCAAGTCCTTCTTTCATATCTGCTTCCTTTGTCCCTGGAGGTTGAAACATGAGTGATTTCTCTCAGGATGTAAGTAAGCATGAAAAGCATATAGCACAAGGTTTTCCCGACCATGACGCTCTACAGGCCTAATGCATTGAAATGCCATGTACAGACATGATTGATGTCAACACCCTCCTTTTAATCACCTGGGATGTATGCTGCCTCTTGACAGTTGGGCAGCCATTTTGGATTCTTCTCTAACGACTAGAGAGACAGGTTGCAGATGATGTTAGCTGACGCCGGCCTCACGGATCACTTCCAGTCTGTCAGTGATTAAGTGACTCATCTACCGCTGGTAAACAAACCCCCAGTAGAGCATCTTGCATCCATCAAAAGATGGCTTTGACTCGCTCCGCTTATCTAACTTGGAAGGAATCCATCATACCTGTACAAAATGCTGGATGCTGTGTGGTCTCTTGGGACTCGTCCCATAAACAAATACATTCTGTTAAAATGCAGCCGTACATACAAAGCAGGTCCCGTTACTTTTGAATGCAGAAAGGTATGGCATTCCCATATGTCTCGCTTCAGGGAAATCAAACTGAAAACACTTGCAAGTTATTTGTGACCTGATTTCGGGAACTTCAACAACAAACTTGATAAAACTCAAATGTTAAAAAGTTGACTACATAAAGTAAAAAAAAAACCTTTCAGTCTTTCAAACTTAACAAAGTTGCAGTTTCTTATAGTACAGTTCAGTGAAAAAGTAATAGTAAATAGATTTTTTTTTTAAATTAGGGCTGACAGACTATGCTTTCGAAACAGTTCCTTGAAACAAATACACTTGAGGAAATCTTTTTTCTGTCCCTTTAAGGCCAAATGTGTGTAGCACAGACTGTTCTCTTCAAATCCCAAGCAATGCACTTCAGTCCTTATTGATATCTGCGTGAGTAGGACAAGTGTGGTGATGTAACATATCTTTCTTAAATTGCAGGGACAGCATTGTGGCTCAGTTTGATTTCAGCAGATTAATTTAGCTTCCCCTCTTACGCAACATTATATTGGCTTTCAAGCTGTCTCTCTGATCTCAGGATCACCTTTGACTCCCTGCATGGGTGGCTGGCTACTGAACTGCACTCCCTTGATAAAAGCTTAGAGAGGAAACAATACCACTCTTGAAAAGATCCCCAAACATCAGAATAAGACCTGATGGCAGGAAAGCGGTTTGGCATCACGCCGCATTGAGAGAAATGAAAAGGCAGCAAAGGATAGCGACTTGGATGAATTCCTTAATATGGTGATTAAAGTTGTGAAAGATTAAACAGACAAAAGAGTGTTTGATGCAGATCATCCAAGGATAAAATCAACATATTTTGACTGTAGCCCCTCTTCAATGGATCACATTCATGATATTTCATTGATAGGAAATTAAAAAAACTTCAAAAAGGGTTTTAACTTTATCATGGGCTCAAAACACATTTTACAGGCTCCGTTCTTACAGAAATATATGACACATAAGGGACCACAGGGAACATTAGCTGAAGCTGAAGCATCATACCAGCAACATATTTCATCAGAACAGCGCTGACAGTGTTTTCAGTACACGTTTATACTCAGGTGACGGCTTTTGAAGAACGTGTCACGTTAATTTGTGCCGACTTTGGAGCAGGGACACTTTAATTAATCCATGAAATATTAAAGGCGAGGGAGCTATTCATGGAAAGGATGTGATCAGATACAGTAATGCTACATGTGTCCTAAAATAAAGTGGTGAGAAGGCTGATTGATCTTAGCGGACAGCTGGGGAATGAGGTCACATCACAAGAATGGTTCAGCTTAGAGAAACAATGGTTTAATGTGTTGAAAAAATACAGATCTTTTACCACCCCTCATATTATATATATATTTTCTTGATATATACTCTAACATTTTTGGGATTTTCTTTTATTCTTTTCTAAGTTGGGCAACTCACATCCTGTCTTTTAGTCTCTTACGAGTCAAACTCCAGAAATGTCTAATCCTACAATTCCCATATTACAACTGAAATCTCTTTTCTTAGAACCTTTCCTTCATGGTAAATGCGCATATCTATCAACATTTCACATCTCCAGCTTGTAATGCAGTCTTTGATGCAGAACTTTAAATCTCAAGTCTATATTGAGAAAATGCTGATGACATCATCAATTTTACACATTAAAGTCCGTTTAGATGTCTTGAAGAGTTCAACTGCATACTTTATATGGGACAAGGTTGAAAAGCTTTTTCTTCAGCTCCAAATAATCGCCTATAAATGGATAAATTGCCTCAAGTGTAATTGACAATTAAGTCAGCAACGGCTGGGTCTGAGGACTGTAACTGTGGAAATGGAAAAAAAATTCATACCTCCTTTCTGCTGGTAGTTATGGGCTTGAGGCCACATTTTCATATGGGACCAAATTGTCGGGGGTCAAGTTGCATTGTGGGTAATGTAGGCGCCAGGTTTTGACATGAAAACATTTCCGAACATTTTTTTTTCATCCATACTGCCCATCATCAATATAAAAATGTTAAAGGGGTGCAATGCTCAGGCTAAGTTGCTGGATTACTGTTTTTAAAAAGCCCCGTTTACAGCCATAGGATACGTTACCTAAACTGTCTCACAAACTGAGTAGTACTGACAAGTAAACCGATCCCCATGTGTACAATTGGTGGAGTGGCCCTTTAACTTAAAGCTCTCAAAGCGCATTATCTCACTGACACAGCAATCCGTAACACTTACAGTAAGTCATAAGGTTTATCACAACTTATTTTCTCTTATATTTTTACTGTCTTACACATTAATCTCAAAAGCCAAATCAAGGTCACCTCTCTGAGCAATTTTCTACACTCCACAGAGCTTATTCACAGCTCCACGCTCCATTTGTCTCCTGTAAAAGAAAACACTGCAGCCGATCTGTAACTCCCACCTGGACAGATTGTGTGATAATAAGACCAGAACAGGTGAAATTTGGCTCAAATGATCAGCTGGTGCAGCATTAAATCCAGACCCAAGTGTAAGCATCATTAAGAATACAAACGCATTCTTCTGTTGAAGGAAAATCTGCACATGTGCCAGTCTACAACACCAGACTTTGATGTGTTCGCCCATATTTCAGACACTAAGTGTTTGCTGAACTGCAGCCAACTGCTGAGACAATACTGGGCCTTTGAGATATACCATGCTCTCGAGTGGTGACGCTCTCAGGCTATAGAGGAAAGCTGATAGCCAAGTGATCCTTCAGCTGACTGAGGGCCGAGGCTTTTCGGTTTAAGCCATCAATGTGGGGATAAAGGTGATCGATGTGGGAAAACCAGAGAAGACACAGTGGGATTTACAGCTGCTGGCCTCATTCACAGGGACAAGTTACATGAACTACAACTATAAATTGCAAGAAATCCTAATTTGAATTGGGAAAATGTACTTATTATACCATACAGTTTTGCGAAAAGGCATTTTATTTAAACATATGAATCTTTGTTTGGCACAATAGAAATTGAATTCAGACTTGGATCCTCGGAGTGAGACATTCCTCTGGTTTGATTGTCTTGGAAAAACATCAGAGCCATGTCATAACCTGACATCACCCTTCTCTCTGTCTGTCTTCTTGGGATGACCAACACACTCCTCTTGTTATTTGGCAAGAGCTGTGTGCTGGTCAGCACCACAAGGCCAGTGAACCCCAGATAGTGGCACTCAGGCGCTGGATACCAAACAGCCCATCACGAGATAGCACGCTTCTCGCTGTCAACCACACCGCGAGAAATGAGGTTAAATGGCACTATCTACACTATATGGGAGCCTCTTCTATTTTTATTAACGGCGTTGACAGCCTCTATTCTTTGGAGAGAGGCAGCACAATTCTTGGAAATGGTTATAAATAAGTTCCGAGGTGTCCACAAGGATTCCTATTTATCTATTTTGCATTGTTTTCAAAAATGGGAGACATCTGTTTTTGATGCATGATGTGTTTCATAAATGCATCTCAATCTGCAATCCAAACATACTTCAGATGATTCAGTGCGGTGAACACTGCTGTTAATGATTGCAGAGGACCTGTTTGCTCTTAATTTCTTTGATTTAATGACCCTTTAAACAGCATGGAGAACTTGTTAGAGGGGATTTCAGACAAATTGAAATTCCCCCTTTAGGGACATTTCTTTGATACTAACAACCGTAACTATACAATCTACCTAATCTCCCACCATCTTTTTCCACTGAGCTATTTGGTCGGTGTGGGAAAAGTGGAGCAGCTGTATGTAACATCTCTTTTTATCCACTCACACTGGAAAAACAACATCAAATGATAAATGGTTTCCAGTGGAGAAACATTATTGTAACAAGGCTCTGTGAGGCTGTACTTTAACATGTTGATGTTCAGATATATGCTGTTTGTCGTGTTTACCATCTTAGCTTAGCTCGCTTTACATGTTAGTATTCTAACATTTATTGCAATTAACAAAAGTACAGCTGAGGCTAAGATAAATTGTAATTCAGAGGATCCTCAAAGTAATTGGGTTTGTCCTCTGGGGACCATGAATGTCTGAACCGCATTCATGGAAATCCATCCAAGTTGTTGAGATACTTTAGTCTAGGCTAACCCTAGAGGCACAATGCTGGCGTTACTGATAAATCTAAGTTCACATTCATAACTCACCTAGCAGCTGGACCCCCCTGGTGAGGCCGTAGATGTCTATAAGAGCCCACAGAGGAACAGAGACATGCACCCCGCTGAAGAACAGTGTTGGGCTCGAGTCGTTGATTCGGTAAAACACCCGGCCTTTCTTGTCTACCCAGAAGGAGATGATGTTTCCCTCATTGGACAGCTCCTCTGGTAGAGCTTTTGCCCAAAAGCCGCTCTGCGAGACCAAGTCAGGGCAGGCGTACTTCGGCAAGGTGTCTGGATTGATCCTTGATGGGTCTTTGGATGTAAAACCAAGACGCAGAGCACCGCTCCAGCAGCACTGCTTTTTGGTGATCTGGAGTACACAGTTTTCAGAAATGAAGATGTTTGAAATGATAGCTAAAATGTTGCTTCTTTAAGTTAAGAATGACCATACTCATTGTTAATTTTAGTGGGTTAACATGCTATAATTTGCTAAACACAAAGCGCAGCTGGGGCTGAAATGATGTTCATTACGTTTGCAGTATTTGACTAATAAAGATTATGACCTTGCTGGATGAAATAACCAACGTTTTTTATGTGGCCACTGTGGGACTTCTGTACAATATTTCATGACATTTTATCCAATAGCTGCTAAGATTATACTCAGACCGATATCGAAATCTGTAGCATCAAGCCGCTTGCGTGGCTAAATTTCAATTTTAAGCAAACTAAGACGAGTTACCTTGGTATGTTTATCACCTGCAAACGATTTTTGTCTTATTTTGAACCTCTGTTTACTTTGCATTTACCGTGCCAGATAACAGTAATCCTCACATGGCAATGCTTGCCCTGCTCTCTCACTTTCGAGACATAGATGGCCTGATAGGTGAAGTGGAAACTTGTTCTAAGCTGCTGCTGCTTTGGCCCACACAAGAGCAAGCCGAGAAAAGAGAGAAAATCAAAACAGGAGAGCAAAGAAGGGGGATGTGCAGAGAGAGGGGGAGGATTAAAAAAAGAAAGAGGAAATGTAAGGGAGAATGGGAGAGGAAGGACTCTCCATCAGAGTCACAATTAGCGTCTTCCTAATTTATAGTGTCTCTCACTGTACTCTGTATTCTAATATAACAAAATACACTATGCACTCACACTGACAGTGTTCCTTGTAGAAGTTTACTCAATGTGCACTATCTTTGTTTTTTAAAGTTAAATTGTTTACTGAAGATGGTGGAAGCCATCTGGATGATTAATGTTGGACCGGTGTAATCCACTTGCTGGTTTTGGGTTGCAATTGGTGGCAGCGTCGTGTTTAACAAATTATTGTTGCTTATTTAGATATAATTGCGACTCCTGAAGAGGCTCTGGCATGCTAATGCATCAAATATGATGTTTGTTTTGATTAGTCAAGTTTTTTTCTGTTTTGCTTAATGTAGCCATTTAACCATTTTTTAAACGAGTACTCGTTTGTCACAATAATTGACAATAACGCCCCACTCTATTGGTTTTAATTATAGTTAAACATGCTTGGATCTTTCAATTGACCTATTGTAACTCCCATTATGTTATTATGTAACTATAATATGCAACTGGCAAACATTAAGTGTCATTTTTACCTTCAGACGAACTTGCTCATACACAGCGGTTGGTCTGTTGCTGAAGGTGATGGCGTTGCAGAAGCTGGCCTGTCTCTTGACGGTGCGTTGGGATATGTCCATGACGATCTGCGAGCCCTTGGTGCTGGGGTGGAAGAGCAAAGGGAAGGAGGACAGACTCCCACACGGCTGGATGGGTAGGCAGCGCTTGGGCTTGTGGTGGCATCGGTGAGATGTGGCGGGAAATGGCCCGTTGAGAGAATCTACAGAATGTGGAGAAAGAAAAGTGGTTGCTCAGTGTGGTCCACAGTTGGGGAGCAGAAACTAAATTACTGAATACTTTCTTCTTGGGGCCCAATTTACAGTAAAACAGGTTTAAGATTAGATTAGAATATTAGATTACACAGTCTGCACCACCGCAGGCTTCACTTTGAATATAATATAGTAGCATGGTGAAGTGGACTCCAGGTTGTGACCTGCTGCTGTCACATGTCATTTCCTCTCACATATCTCACTTGCTCCTGTAACATCAAATTAAGTGAGAAATGCTTTAAAAATAATCTAATACCCAGTTTTCAGTTTCTCAAGGTACCACAGTGCAGCCACACACCTACATGAAAGGACATTGCGCAAAGTAAATTACATGCAAATATGTCCTTGGATGCAAGGACAAAATTGCTTTCTTGGTTACGTAATTGAGGAGAACAAAGGAGCTTTGAGACGTTCATACAAAAATGCTCCAGTTTCAGTGAATAGTCATTTGCAGTAATCCCAAAAACTTTTGTTATTTTTCTTATTCTTGCCAGATTTTAAACTGGTTTGAAAGTTTATGTCTCACCGTGCTGGAACACATTTACAGTATAATCAGTAGAAAAGAGGAAATGGGGGATAATGAAAACAAAAAATGATTAGCTAACATTTAAGGTGCTCTAACATCATCTCTAGCAGTTGAATTAGATCCACAGAAAGCAAGTTTAGGATCGTACAGGATGTTAGCTATTTGTTCAGCTGTTGATACACATACGGTATATACAGTACAGTAAATATCTGCTTCTCTTTAAATAGTTAGTCACGTTCACACTACAGTACCTTCCATATCAGAGTGAAACTAAAATAAAAACACTGCTGCTAAATGAGATTAAGTGACCTTTATTGTGTTTTGCAGGTCAAATAAGAGCAAACCCAAAGGAGAACATCTGACTCATTTTTCCCATGTGAATCATGACTTCTCCCACTAACCAAAACATGTTTTCAAATTTCATCTGTCTTTTCGGGTTTGAGATGATAAAGAATTTTCTCATCATGAGTCTGATATCACAGTTTCTCCCCTTCATTAGGACCTACTCCCACTGCTTTTCTTCCCACAGTTCTGTTCAAAGCATAACTCCAAGGTCACTGTGGCATTTTGGCATTTTTTTCTCACTAACATAGGACTCTCATCACATGTAGGATTATTCAGAGACATACAAATGTAATTGCATCACGATTGGAAACTGTTTTCTGTATCTTTAGTTCTCTCTTCAGTGACATTTAAAGTACGATAAAATCCAGCCAATGTGCCAAAACTGGAAGCCAAATAAATAATTCAGTCCTAATTAACACTTCTTCCTTGAGAACTGCTTGTATTTTCACACCTACATTTGGAAGACTGTGTAGGAGCTGCTTGTGTTTGTCCGTGAGAAGAGTGGACTATATGAGCCAGTGCTGAAAGACAGCTATTCTTGCTTTCCTGCGAGCGACCTTGGAGGGTCAGACGCTTCATAATGTTCCCGACAAATCAATCAACACTGTCAGGATTGGCAAAGACTAATCATGTGACTTCTCGGACCATGTCTGGTGTAGCTTCACTATTGTTCAGATTTCAGGGAGGGCAGAGATTAAGATTTCCGGGATGTTCGAACTTTTGTTGTGTTTAAACTAGAAAGAGTCTTTCCCTTTTCACCACAATCAGAGAGGCTATGCCAAGAGTTCTGGGCTCAGTACAGTATATTTGTTAAGCTCTCGTCGCAGCAGAACAATGTCGAATTGTGCTCTGTGCACAACAGTGGTCTTAAATGAAGTCATAACAAATCCTTTAACCATATTGCATCCATGATGTCATGTCAGACGTGATGTCTAAGGGAAAACAAAACAGGAGTGTATTGTGCTCCGTAAGGAACCAGGCCTAAGAGTGAATAGAGTGAATTTCCTGTTAGGTCTGAAAACAGGAGCAACACCTCAAAGGCCTTATGCTTTAACATTTTACCAAAAATCCAATATCTTCTTTCATTTTCACTATATTAATATAATTTCTACTGCGGGGAATTGAATTCTCTAGTAGTCTGTTTTCTATTTTCACATCCCAGGCATCTTTAAATGGGTTCCAGAGCACACAGAGGGCTATATAAACTATGACTACAGTTGAATGAGTAAATACATGAATAAATAAAAATACCACGCTTGATTTACTGTAAATGACACCTGGTTAGAGCCAAAAGTGCTGATGATACAGTGGCTGTTGAAGTGTGTTTAAAAAAAGTCATGCGACCTGACTAAGACGTCACAGTAAACAGTGACCAGAGCCCTGTCATGATAAAAGAGAGGTGCCATGACGAATGTCAGATGAGCAACTTAAGGGAGGATAATGTTACTTAATGCACCACCGAACACAATGTGACTGCCTCGCTGTCATTAATTGGAAAGGACAAACCGTGCAGAGACAAAGAGTGCCCCTGGCCATTGTCACCTGGTCTCTTACGCTTTACTGTGTTTTATCCCCAGGCTCGGTCTCAGTAAGAAGCCCAACTGAGGCCCTAATGCAGTGTGATGTTAGTATGGAGCTCGATGGCCCTTTCTCACAAGACAAGAGCTCACAGGCAGCACCATAAAGAGCCAAAGGGCACATATATGTTTTGAGCCTTTGCAAGTGTGTCATAGCATGTGTATTGTATTAAAAGGTAAACTGAAGTGATTTTAATACATGGAGAAATATAAAACATCCTCCCATAGGTACTTGCTGTCAGTCCTGTTACTTTAACATTGATGTTAATTTTTCATCTAGTGACATGTTTTGAATGTAACCCTATGTTGGCCTGATAGTCTCCCAGTTTGCTGTGTTTTGCATACAATATTGTGTTTTATAAAAAAAATTAAAATTGTTATTAGATTTGGATCCTTGAAGAGAAAGTCATCGAGTTACCAATTGTTAAGAGATTATTTGTATGTTCACCAAAAAGAGACGTGAAGCAGAGACCCCTTTATCCTACAATAATTATCTTTTTTTTATGAAAGACTATAAATACAATCAAATAAGGCTAACTATTCTTGTCGTTAATGTTAAAAAGCTGAACTAGATTTACTCAGATAGTCATGATGTACTCAAGTCTAAGGTTTAATATTATTATTTTTGCTTGTTTTTTCGACCATTGCCGAACTAATTTAAATGTACAGCCACATAAACCAGAGTGGACCATCAAATCCTCACATTTAGGAATCTGGAACCAGAGAACATTTTGCATGTGCTTAAATAACTGATTCGTATAGTTTCCCAATAATCTTCTGGCTGTGCCTTACTAAATTAAATGATTGACTTATTTTTGCAGCTCCACATAGTCAATTTCAGACCATTTTTTAATCATGGACTCGGAGACTTGTGAATTGTCAGAACATGAAATAGTCTATTAATACAGTAGAGGAGTAGAAAAACCGCAATATTAAGTCAAACACACTTTAAAGTAATGTTTTAGTGTTCAGCCCACATTGCATTATTATTTATATGTTCAATCATGCATGTTGTGAGTGTATCACAATCAGAAAACCAATGGATACAACTTTACATTACGATGGTATTTATTGTAACAAATAACTCAACTTCTAAATGGTTTATTGTAACTAGTTAGCTAGAAAGCTTCTGCAATAAATGTCAATGTAAACTGAGATAGGAATGTGATAAATAAGAGCGCTCAATGCACCTGTTAAACATAAATAAATAATGGACCAATTGATCCTCACATAAGTTGAACAATAAAGTTATCAAAAATGTTTTCCAAACATCCGGATACTCACCCTGTGAGTGTATCACTTTCAAACAAACAAGCCAGGTGAGAAAAGTTATGTGCCAACTACTTTCTGTTTATCCTGGGGGATTTATTTTTAATTATATATGACTGTAAACAACCTTAGATGCAGAACAACAAGAATCCTTAGATACGTTTTTCAAAATGTGAAAAACGTGATTTCCTGTTCAAATTTCCCCCTTATTTAAAGCCAGTCGTGACTTAGGCTACAGAAGGTGTTAAAACTTGGCTACTTTCACTTCAAATTTATTTTAGGCATCCAGGACGCCTACAATTCACATGCACACAGGCTCTAGGCTGCACAGGCACGCTTCATACCCGATTACATCGTCTCCTCTCATAATAATCACCGGATTTATTAGTTGTAGTTATCCTTTATGCCAGATGTGCTTACCGTAGAAGGTATTCCTGGTGATCTGACCTCCCATGGCTGCATGCAAGGTGCGTTCACCTCCGCTCTCTATACCGGCTGAATCCGGGATATTCACATCCAGCTACGCGTCTGCAACGGTGACATTATACGGACACGATTCCGTTCACAACAAAAAAAAGTCCCGACAATGATTTAGATGCAGGTTGTGTCTGTCAAGCCTCATCGACATGAAACGGCAGATCCAGTGCGTTTAGAGATCACGCTGAAATTAACATAAAAGGTGGTAGTGGAGGTGGGGCTTCCCGGGACTATTAACGCTGTAGCTACCAAAGAGGGGACCTCAAGAGCCTCTACAAGCAATACATAACCATCATATTCCTGTTGACTCAGTCTTAGAGGACACTTATCTACCTCTAATAAACATTTGATAATTATGTAGAGGTTTATATATGTGTTACTTATCTTACCATTTGTATTTTGAGTTTGTTTTATTCATAGAATTATGTCTTTATCACAAATATCCTTATTTCACTCCATTCCTGTAGTCTTTCCCGAAAGATGCACAGTTTTTATACAACAAAAATGTGCCCCCCTGCCCCACACATACACACCTGTTATCAGGACTAACCTGCTTGCTGCCCATACTTTGCTTTCCCCAAGCTAAGGGGTACTTTATATTAAGAATCTCTTTCCCAGCATCACTTGAAATAAAAATGCAGGAAGGAAAGTTTTCTAGGATGTAAAGTTATTTTGGCATAAACCCCTGAAACAATCTTGAAAGGCCCTTCTGGTAACTGTCTGATAACACGGAGATGTCACACTGCTGGCAGTTTTTCCAGTAAATAGGAATGGCGGGTCAACAATGAACAGGCAGAAAAAACGCTGGCTTCAGGGTAAATCTCATACTAGAGCTGAGTAAGTGAGTTTGAAAAGTAAGACTGTGCAGTAAATTAACTTACGTTTTTACTTCATAAAGGTTGATAATTTGTGTCTGGGGTTTGGTAACAAATCTGCCAATTTAGATCTACTTCAGGGGCTTAAGTTTTGAGTGCCAATTCAGCGAGCCAGCATGACTGATGGGCGCACAGGAAAGAAACATAACACAAAATAATTGGAAAAAACAATCATTTGGTAAGAATAAAAGATGATTCACAATTGCTTTTTGAGGACATGTCTTGGCCCACAGCCTGCATTTGAGTAATATTATGCTCAAATTATGTGCAACATTTCAGAAGTTAGAATGTGTACATTACCAGAGGTTGGTGCCATGAAATCACCTCGGAGAGGGTCCTTCCTCATTTCCCTTTTTAAAGTAAGGTAGCAACTGGTAAGGGCTACAGAGGTTCAGAGTTGGCCCTGGTACCTAGTGGGCACCTCTCAGGGTCTGCCTTGTTGCCTTGGCGCTTACACAACTGGATAACTGGTGTCTGCAGCCAGGCCTGTGAGACACTATATTGGCTCAGTAGCATGAGCTATATTCTCAAGTTGTTTATACAAACTGATTGCGGTTTACTCGACTGACTGTAAGCAATTTGCAACCAGGGTAAAGCTGTACAACAGCATTCATGCACCATATTACATAAATATTTTTTTATGAAAAGTGTTCAACCGGATCTAATTTGTCACAGGAAATTGAGATGAACTATACATATGAAAGGCAAAAGTGTCAACAGAAAATGTAGGAATCTATGGCATGGGCCCCTGCAGCTACGACAGTCATACTTAATGGAGTTTGACATGCCACCTGATCACTGGGCTGTCATAATCTGATTGCTGTTCTGTAATACAAAGAGAAGTGTTGTTCACCGGGAAATAATAAAATAAGATTTTTAGTTTCCTACAATAATATCAAAGCAGTATACCACCAAATGTGTATTTTAGGAAGGTTGCCAAAAAGCTATTTTGAAATATCAATATCAAAAGAGTTAATAATCTTCCCTGTATTTGCCTTGAATGCACACTGGAATAAAAAAAAACTGTAATCAGATTGCTGATGAGTAGGCGTATACCAAGTACACAATTCACACTGATAAATCATTGGCAGTAATTGTGTGTCTCTTTGTGGTAATTCGAACCGTTCTTATTTCCAACTTGTCTCACACCAAGGTTTGGCCAGGGCCATTTGGCGTCACTTTCTAACACATGGGGTAGCCCTAAGCTTCATGGTTGCAGAAAACACTTGGTTAACATTTTGAACAAAACAACAACTCGTGGTTAGGGGTATAATTAATATCATGACATAATGAAATAGCTTGAAGTTGCGATTTGATGTCACACAGGACACACATAGTGGTCTCCTGGGTTAAAGCTGGGTTTGACGTCTATATAAGCGGACTTTATTGATCGTTATACTACGTCATCAGTCTTCCAGAGTACTTGATCTAGAGCGTGGATGGCATTGATTGTGGTTACTTGAATACCCGGTTGGGTCTCATTCCGGCACTAAATGGTGCCTTGTCAAATGCTGAAGGTTGTAAAAAATAGATGCTATCTTTCCCCTGGAAGTGGGACCGTCTTTTTGTAGTCAGACATTTTGCAATTCGCTTTGTTTCTTTTTGTTTTTGAGTTGCAGTCCATTTGCATTTCTTTGTGGTTGTTGGGGTCTTTTTGTGGTGAGTTTTCTTCTCCTCATTGTCACTTTGCATCTCTTTGTAGACACTCGGTTTACTATTCATCAAGATATGTTAACTGGGCCCAGGCCTAGAAACCCATGGGGTCAGGGGGCCCCATATACTGAGTCCTGCAACCCACGACTGAAAACTGTGTATAGGGCTTAAGTTTCAAAATACGCACACGTTTCCAAAAATTCAAACACTACTCTATTCTCAGCACTATTATTACAACATTTTTTGTGTAATAGCTCTGATCAGGATTGTTTATACACCGTGTGCCCTGACAGAGCGGACTGACACCTCTTCCTGCCGTAGATTATTTGTAGATGAGCGCCTGGTAGGGTGTGCTGGCTGGGGCCTCGGCGGACATCTTGACAGCCTTGTTTGTCAAGCACTAAAATAACTAACTAAGCACTCATATACTAACTAAGCACTTATATACTAACAAAGCACTTATACTGGCTCTATGAAACCTGATGTACTTATATGATTCTGTTTTCTTCAAGTTTGTATCTTCTTGGTCGAATGCACTTATTGTAAGTCGCTTTGGATAAAAGCGTCAGCTAAATGCAATGTAATGTAATGTCATGTTTGAGGCAGCCATGTGCACGCTTGCTCTCTTCGGGGATGATGATGTTGAACAAAAACACCATTCAACTCAGAGTTTGGACCCTCGCCCTGCAGCCATTGCGCAAAACATTACAAGAGCATCATATGATCCTCGACAGGGGGGCGTCAGCAGAAAAGGAACCCCACCCGCCAGGCACGTATCGGAGGTGAAATCAAGTTGTCACATAGCATTAAAAACAGGGACATAAAGAAGACACTGGGGGAAAGTTTATTGATCACGAGATTGTAAACAAAGTGTAGATGGAAGGTACTTGCACACAACATTCATCTACATTTACCAGAATCCATTTTATTTATTGGCAAAGTATGCTCACAGAAAGAATTTTGACTTTAGGTGTAAGAGGCTCTCATTGTATGCTGTGCCAAAAATATCCAGACAAACAAACACTTTCAGCTGAACTAAGCTAATAGGTGTACAATAGTTCACTATAGTTAATTGTCCCTGACAATGCCCCCGATTTCTTTACTTATTTTCTTTCACAATTTCATCGAGTGGAGTCTTCAGCGGTTTTGAGCAAAGGGATGCAGAGCTCACAAAAATAACATAACATCATTATGAGCTTGGTTTGGATTTTATTTAACCTGGCGTTCAGAGGTGTCCAGTGATCCAGATACTGAGGAACTAAAGGATCATCACTGAGATTACGATGTGTTTAAAGACCCGAGGGACCGTGAATCTACTCACTCGTAGTTTACATCTCACTGTTTCCTGTAAGAATATCATTCAGGGATCTTTCTGATCATCAATATTTCTGTAATTTTACCATACTACAGGATTTGTTATCATATAGCATGTGGTCTACAGCAATGTTGCCATGCACTCCTCTAAGGGTAATTGCTATTGACCGAGATGGATAAACGTGCCTAGTACCACAAATTGAAAGCGTCTCCTGGGTCAGGAAAAATATTTTCCATGTACTGTAGGAGAGGCAGCACCACATATGTTGGTAATGGGGTCAACATATTTAAAGTCAATATTATTGATTAGTCACACTGCTTCTCAGAAAGTTAAGCACAGACCATTACACTTGGAACTAATGCACATTTGCACAACAAATGGTTTGGCATGGTTTAGTTGTTGCCCTTCTGTAGCACCAAAAAAACTGAGACGTGACTTGGACTTGACTGCATGGAGCCCTTTCTTACTTGACTCCCTTCAGACTTGGCTTTCAGACAACTGAATACAAATACAATCCGTGTTTGAGTGTCAATTATGGCCAGTTACTTTAAATGTGCCTCTTGTCCATGTGTACTTTGTCCTCTTTCCAGGCATTTGTCAGAGAAATTCGGTGTTGTGGTCCAGGTCCTTAGCCTGCACTTAATTAACTAAATGCTGCCATTATGTTTCTCCATGGGGAAATTTTACAGAAAATGATTTGTTTGCGCAATCTATTGCATTTTTTCCTGTCCTGGAAGGTTTCCTCCCTAGTTTTCCTCTAAGACTATTTCCTTTCCTAATTCGGACGTGATAGAGATTCGGTGTTCCACAGATTTGTGTTTTTGTTGGCTAGAGCCTGCCTAGCTGTTATAGGTGTTTTAAAGTCACTGTGTGTGGCTAAGCTTACCGGCTGCTGGCTTTCTCATCACTGCACCAGGAAGTCAATAAACACATTTATTTTTCTTTTGAGACATGTATTTAACTTGTCCCAAAAGATTTGTATGTAAATGTCATTCTGTGTTCCTTGTATTCATTTCTTATAATTTGCTGTACTATAAAATAAATTCATCATTAGCCTATTTACTCACCCACGTTATTCAAAACTCTGGTGACATTTAAATGACTGTTATACGCCTTCTAATTTAGCCCCCCCACAGCTCCATCGCAGCAGTCTCCCAGTGTGCAGAAGTTAAAAGAGCCGTTCTTTTACTGCCACAAAACAGCATCAAATATCCATTAAAATCTCTCGAATGTTTTCATGCAATCATCAGGTTTTTGTAGCCAAACAATTGCTATGCGGGTTCAGTTATTATTACCTCTATTTTCCTC